GTATCCCGTCCCGTCCCGTTGCCCACCCTTACATTCTACACAATTAGAAAGAAAAAATTAGACATGTCTCCACAAACATAAATAAGATTAGTTGTTTAGAATATTAAATATACCGAGAAAATTAATTATATGGGTGTGGGCGGGTACCCATGGGTCGGGTTTACCTAAACCCAAACCCAACCCGGTGAATAGTGAACGTGTTTAAACCCAAACCCGGCCCAAAACCCGTCAACACGAATTTTACCCGCGTTGACCGGATTTGGTCGGGTGGGTACCCGTGAGTTCGGGTTTTGTTGCCATCCCTAGTCGGACGGACCGTCGGAACCGGACACTTAAAGGGTCTCATCCAACCATAATTAGGACTGGCCGGTAGTCGGTCAAAATCGGGTCTGATCAGACTTATCCGACTACCTGCCATGAGCAAAGTGGCATAGTTATGGTTGGGCTGGAGCTTTTCTGAATTGGAAATTCTAAATTCTAAACCCTATGCCTCCTTTTGAATCGCATCGCTCACAACCCTGATCCCTCCTTTCATTCCTTTGTCCGCCGAGCACAGCAGCCAACAGAGGAGAGCCCTCTGCCACAAATAGCGCAACCGCCCCACTCCTCGCCGGCGCCGCTCACCGCCTCGCTGCCGCCGCTCACCGCCCCACGCCTCGCTGCCGCGTCTCGAACTAGTTCCCCACCACCTCGACGAGAGTCCCCGCTCCTCGACGCTACCTGTCGTCGCTCCCCACCCGACGCCTCGACAGCAGCGCCGCTGCCTCAACACTAGCTCCGAACCTTTCAGGTGGTGCTTAATTAGGTTTTAACGTTTTTATCATTCTTGAAGCTGCTCTTTCCTAGGCATGGAATTGGATCAACGTTTTCAGAGTGCACTACAGCAATAAGATTCCAGAAAACCACAAATAAACAAACAGAAAAATAAGAAATCATCAAAGTAAGGGGGAGGGAGGTTCCAATTTTTTATTGTACTAGTTTCAGAATTGACCTTGTGTTTGTTAATTAGGAGGTAAGAAGGAATGTAGCAGGTTAATTACGTTGATGGAATTGATGATACAGGTTGATATATATGCATAATTTATTAGATATTAATGGATCTCCAATATCAACTGCTAACATATCTTGTCAAAACCGGCTTAACCCGATTGAACTCCGATCCGACCATTAAACCCTAAACCCCTTACTAAATCGGTTAGATGACTTAATCCGGTTTGACAACCTTGGGTTTAACCTAACCGGCACGAAAACAAACAGAAATCTAATTATGGGCTATTTTAGCTCTAGTGTACATTCTGCAGAAGTAGATTGAAGATAAAGCTTTAGAGAAATACTTTTCAATAAAAGCAGTTGAGTGTTTTGCCGAAAGACTATTAGAAATGCTATTTAATATAAACTAGTCATTAGTTCGCGCTCCGCGTGGGATATACTTGACCTTTGCAATTTTTTTTTATTAAAATGGGATCAAATATTGATTTGAAAACGGTAATTATATTAAACCCCAGTATCTGTGCATGCAACACAGAGAATAAACTGTTGTTACAATTACAAAAGAACCACAGGAAATACAAAATAAACTCCTAGAATTAGCAAAAGGGTCCCAGAGCTCCAAAAACACATGTACTGCATCTGTCTGATGTTCAGTGGGGCATATAGTCATGGATGAGATCATCTTAAATGTGCATGCTTATTTGTCAAAGGCAGATTTGTGCCAGAGTGTGGCAACCCTGGCGTGTGGAGCCGCCTCTGATTTTTTGCTGTCTAGTCTTGGCCCAGCGATATACAGCTCCGCTGCACATGTTCCTTCACAATTCTTCACGATCAGTTGTACGACCTTCTCTTTTTCCAACAAGATATATTCAGTGGGTAACATACGAATCAGTGACAAAGTTGCTTCATGTTCAAACACAACATCAACCTTAGTCGATCCATTCTGACATTTTGCTTCCAGTGTATAATGAAGTCTTCAGTAAAAAAGCTTGTGCTTAGTTTGCCTGAAAATTTATTCAATCACCATACAAATTCTGGAGTTGGATAATGGAAACTAACTGTGGACACTCTGGAGTTGACTTGCAGATGGACTTTTTGTACACAACTGGCGAGATGTTTAATTTACACCGGTAAAGAACCTATAACAAATAAGATGGTTTTGATTATATGCAAATGAAATAAAAAGGCACTCAGGGCATGTTTGTCTAAGCAATTAGGTTTTGCACATACCTTCTTGAATTTTGATTGGGAAGTAAGTTTTGCCTTGATTTTTGGGGGAAAATCCAAAGTACCACTGTTTAAAAAAAAAATTCAAAAATATCACCCAACCCCAAAAAATTCCAAAAATACCACCCTTTTTCAAAAACCGCAACCCCACCCTGCGGTTTACACGAAAACCGTTGGGCGGGGGCGCGGTTTTCTATGCAAACCGCTGGGCTAAAGGGCGGTTATAAAAACCGTTGGGTGTGGCAGCGGTTTTGGGCCAAACCGCCACCCCACCCAGCGGTTTGGTCCTTTTTTTTCCGATCAACTCCTAACTTAGGCCGTAACTTCAAACGAACGTAACTTTGCACTCAGGTATCCGATCGTAGCGATTTCTTTTTTTGAATCCCCCCCAAAATGCAAAGTTATGTTTGTTTGAAGTTTCGACCGAAGTTAGGAGTTGATCGAAAAAAAAAAAATTTGGACCAAACCGCTGGGCGGGGTGGCGGTTTGGCCCAAAACCGCCGCCCCACCACTGTGGTTTGCATAGAAAACCGCGCCCCCGCCCAGCAGTTTTCGTGTAAACCGCAGGGTGGGGTGGCAATTTTGGAATTTTTTTGGGGTTGGATGGTATTTTTGGAATTCTTTTTTTAAACAGTGGTATTTCTGTAAAAAGTCCTGATTTCTGCAAGCGTTTCATTGGGAGGTCGATTGTGGTGGAGGTAACCAATCTTTTCTCCAGCTGCATCATTGATGTAGTAAACTAGTTTGCGTGCTGCTACAAAGCTAAATTGTGGAAAGGATACTTTGTTAGTGTTGAATAATTTAATTGGTAACATAAGTTAGTATTGAAATTATTGTAGTTAATATATATCAGCTCTGCATGTTCATTATATCCTTGCAGCTATCTGTGTAGGAATAAATAATAAGACGACTGAAAGCTGTTGCCTCAAACTCATATCGATACTTATGGGTTTCGGCAGGATTCACTCTTTTCACTAATTTGACTGTGACAATCAATGGCAGGTATGACTCAGCTGCTGGTGCATTCTTCAAGAAATGATCGATATCATAACCTTGGTAGCGAACGATCACATTTGGCCCACTAATTGGAAGGACAGATATGTCAACCTATGTATCTTCAAAATGCATAGAATGTTACATAATTTCGAAAACAATACCTCACATCTTGCACGATTAGGACGAACTGCTTAAGACCTTCTCCTATGATTTCTGGAATTATCACTCGCCTAACACATGCTATCAAGTCTGTAATTTTCATGGTTGTTATGTTAATGATAGTTTTTTGTTTTAAGGTGGGAATGAAAGTTAAGAAACTTCACCTGCGTGACATTCGAATTTAGTTGTCTGCATTGGTATGATTGAAAAAGAGGCTCCGAGGTATGAGCCCACTGGAACTGCAGAGCGCTAGGCTTCATCAATGCGGCCGATAATCTGACTCGGAGTTAGCATCACCCGTAACTCTGCTGGGACAATGCGCTGCCTTTCTCTTGCTCGAATAGCCACAATATCATGCAGTTGATGCAAACACCCACTTTAACTTTCTTATAAACTGCGGTAATGTCCTAATTTTCAACCACAGCTTCAAGGAGTCGATTATGCAATACCAAGAGTGATTAATTTAGGGTTTGGTTTTTAGCATTGGAAACATCTAAATTTTGAATGTTTGGGCTTTTATAGAAATTTAGGGTTGGAGAAGCGAGTACAGACCTTTTCGTCTTGCCAAATCATATGTTCTGTCTGCATCTTCCAGAATTTTCCTTGTCAGTATTCTGACCAAGTACTGACAAGGCGAGCCACTAAGGAGCGATGGTTGATTCCCAAGCGTATACCACGAAAGCCCCTGAATCTTTCAATGGGATGTGCATTAGAAGTAAAGCAGACACTAAGCAACCTCATAAAGTGTGCAGAAAGATCAGAGAGGAATCGAGTTGCGTCCGCATGACTACTTTCCAAAATAAGAGGGGTTTACCTTGCTGAACGTCGGGGACCACACTATCGCGTTCTGCAGATTGTCGCCCATTCCTCAAAGCGTTCATCTTCAGTGGGGTCCCTAAGGGTCGTACGAAAAATTTACTGATGAGGAGTACTTTAACCGCCGTAAATTTGTGACGTAGGAGAAGACTGAGAGACGGGGTTACCTCTGAGGGAGGAATTATCCGGCGGTCTGAGAGGTGTGGTCTGCGCGGCGGATCTGTAGGAGGTTGTGGAATGTAGTTTTGTTAGGTGAGGTAGGTTAGGGTTTAAAGTGGGTTGTTCGATTGTGGACTGAGAGATTGGGCCTGCATATTTAAAGTGGGCCTTGGCTTATTTTAGATGGTGTGTTTGTCCTGCATATTGGCCCCTTTTTTTGTAGATTGAGGTCCAACATGGCGATCTCAAAGCAAGTGCTTTCATGAAATCAATTAGTTGAAGTAATTTTTACAAATTGTCGATTCAAAAACATATTGTTCATCAGTAGAACTCTGGACTACATGAAATGATTATCAACATAGCATGGATAAGTACAGGTAATGTGAACCATATACTGCAAAAATTGACTCCACAATTACACAAACACATGTTTATCTCAAAAGGCAGGCAATTAAAAATGTAAAGTGGCGAGATTCTTGGAAGGCTACACAGAGTTCCCGGTTTCTCCTTTGTGATATATGTTAAAATAAGGAAGAAAATATTAGCAGTAGATAGATGAGCCTCTGCTTTGACATAAGAGAAGACATAAGTAAATAGTGGGAGTTGCTTACTAACACTAAAGAGGCCATTTGCAAACCTTAGCAATCAGGAATTCAGTCGCTTGCAATGTCGCTGAATGCTTCAGTGAAGACTATATTCCTTGTGTAATCGTCTGGGATGTCAGGAGGGTTTCTTATGAGTATCCACAGGCCACTAGCTAACCTGACTCTCGAAACCCCCACATATAGTTGGCCATGACTGATCATAGGGTTAGGTAAGTAAATCCCAACCTTGTCGAGAGTTTGCCCTTGACTCTTGTTTATGGTCATCCCAAAACACAAACAAAATGGGAATTGATGTCTTTTTAAAATGAACGACCACTGTGAATTCTATATGTTAAGGACAATCCTGGGAATGATGACTTCATCTGTGTCGTTGGATCCGCCCACAATGGTTTCTTTGATGATGTTGTCTCTTAATGTTGTTATCATAATACGGGTCTCGTTGCATAATCCAAGAGCAGGGTTGAGGTTGCGCATCTGCATCACTAGGGTATGATTCTTCAAAGTGAGTTCATGATCAGGTACCCCATTGAACTTAAGTGTGTTAAGAAATTCAGTGGGGTAACACTCATCGAATGAAGTAGTTATTTCTTTTGACTGGAGAAATGAATCTGAGTTGTAGTATGTCTTTGTGGGCCCTGGAATTTGCTGCAACATATGTTCATTCAGTTCAGTGACTGTTGCATTTGTTGGAGTGACCACTGCTCTGCTCGCGAGGTATGCTGGTTGGCAGTAATTATCAATAAAAGAGTCATAAATATCACCTGTAATTGATTCAATGGGGTTGGTGTCATATTCAACAAGAAATATCCTTGGAATCTGCACCCAATTTGAAGGACTATCTAGCGTGAATGATTTTGTTGCAAGTCTCCCATCCCCCAAAGCTAACACCCATTATGAGAATCAACAATCCTCATGTTCCTAGACAGCCTTAGTAGTTTAAACGACTTCCACAACAGTGATCTTGTGAGCGAGCTATCCACGGTTTTCTCACGACCTGCCTCGGTTAAAACAGGAAGAGTTTGACGAAAATCTCCTACAAAAAATACAGTCTTCCCTCCAAAAGGCCTATATTGTGGGCCTTGCAAGGGAATATTCATTATGTCACAGAGACTACGATCCACAGCCTTGAAAGCTTGTCGATGTGTCATGGGCGCCTCATCCCATATTATCAACGAGGGCTCCCTCACCAACTCGACCAAGTGCGTTCCTTTCTTTATTGTGCAGGTTGAAGTTGCATCAAGAGTCAATGGTATCTTGAACCTTGAATGTGCAGTGGTGACTTTAGACAACAACGTCGCTGCAATTCCCGATGAAGCAACCAAAATGACAATCTTAGATTGACTCCTCAATCTGGCCGTTATTGCATTGTACGGAAAAGTTTTCCCAGTTCCTCTATGGCCATAGAGGAAAAATGGGATCCCCAAATTGTTGTGAACTGAGTTTATAACAACTGAGAAAATGCGAAACTACTCAGTATTTAGGGAATGCATCATTGCTTCTATTGTGTTTTGTTGTTGGACGGCATCAAAATCCAGGTGGTCATGATAAGTAGGTTTGTCCCATCATCTACCACAACATCTGTAGGAATGGGAAGATTAAGATCATGTAAAGATGCTGAGTGAGTACCAAGCAACTGTTGCAATTGGCGCAGGACCCAGTTCTTCAGCCTTTCGTCAATTGGTTCACAATTTCTCGAAGACAGGTTGGTAGCCATCACATAAACAAAATCATCTGCCATAAAACGCCAAGCATAGTTAAACAATTCCAAAGGTTTTGGTATTTCACAGAACATTAACATGGAGACGAAAGCATTTCGTATGACTCTTGGCATGCTAGATGCAGATATTTCTGAGAGCACCCGGATCCACTCGGATGAGTCAGACAAAAGGCCCAACTTTTCACAAGCTTTTTCAAAACTGGGGCAAAGCTCCCCGTTGACAGTGTGCAAGTGAGCATAACTCAGAGCCCCATGAATCTTTGTCAGCATGATACGAAGCAAAAAGACATCACCGCTGCCCGGCGGCACATATGCAATCCTCCTAACTGTGAATCCTCATTTCCGTGTAGACCACTCACTACAATCAGGAAGCCATGTATAGTTATTGAGGATTTGTGCATAGGTAAACTTTCTTGCTTTAGGAACTCGTTGATTGAGCACAAACCACTCAATCAAATGTGTTTTACCAGCATTAGGATTTCTGAAGACATTCCGCACATTTGACAGTTTTTTTACGGAACCTTATGTTGGCCATCCAAGTGAAACTCCGAGACGAACAACTGATGGTTCACTAACATAAATTGGAGATTCATTAAGCCTCCATATATCCTCGTATGATGACAAAGATCTACAGTCAATAAATTGCTGAATTTCATCTTTTCATCGAACACCTTGAGCTAGTGGGTCATTTTGCAGTTTGTCAAAGTTTTCGGCAATAACCAACGATCTATCTGGTCCTTTGGTCACATACTTGAAAAGGTATATAATGAGTTTTCCTTTGTGGCATACCTCCAAGTTGTTGTGAGCTTGTAGTCGCACCAGCAAATTATGATTGTACGGCACAATGTGTCTATTATCCAGAACACCTTGATCCCTGAATCTGTCTTTTTGTAAACATCAAAACCAAATTTGTCAAAAGTGGTTGCTGAGTTGAAGTCTTTTGGTAAATGTTTAGAGCATTTACTATTCGTTGAAATCTTATGATCCCTCGTACATGCAACATGTGCATTTGATTCTCCGCACGGTCCATGAAGCATGTATTTCACAACAGCTTCGTAACCGACTGGATCATGTTTTGGATCAAGAATCTTTGCCGATATGATTGCATCTATGTCAACAGTTCTTTTTATCTTGTCCCCATCGGCAAGCCACACCAACAAATGTATATGTGGCAACCCTTTCTTTTAGAACTCAACTGTGTACATAACTGGGGCAAACAAAGTTGGAGGGGGGAATCAGTCAGGGTCCAAGTGGCCCGCAAGGTGATCATGCAGAGTGGCACTCGCCAATGTGGACAGAAAATTAGAAGCAGAAGCAAGTATTTTTATTGTAAAATGGGTGGAGATGTTTTTCCAAAGTAAGATTCTCATTTTATGTCGTCTATGAGAATGCCAAGCTTCACATGGAACACTCTTGAGACAATCATCGGTTTGTTGACACTATCTGGCCCCATAGTTACATCAAAAGCTTGTGAAATCTCATCCCATAGTGAATTGCATGTGAATGTGATGAACAAATCGAGGGCACGGCCGTGTTTTGCTTTTGCCCGTCCGTGCCCTCGCCACATGTTAAAAACACGCCCGCGTCGGCCAAAACACGGTGGCGCCTAAAGATGGACAAGACCGTGCTTTTCTTCACTTCCGCCCGTGTTTTAGACATCGCAGGAGCTCCCTGCAATCAAGCCTCGGCATAAAAAACACAGCCTGGAACATGACCGTGTTCTTCTTTAGGCCAGCCCGTGTTTTGCTTTTCCATCAGTTCAGCTCTCACACATAAAAACACTGGCGTGCTCGTTTATGTACACGACCGTGTTCTTTAGGACTCATGCCCGTGTTTTGCCCCCGGCTCGACCGAATGACCTCCAAATTCCCCGAATCTTGTGCTTAGCCTTTCCTTCGATGTCTGGGATATGAAATATGACAAAGTAGCACAACCCAGCGTAAAATGGCCCAAAAATACATGACTACTAGCCGCAAACGGATAAGAATTAAGGATGCAAACATGTGCAAATACATCGTTATCAGATAGCGCAAGAAAGCAAGACGATTAAGCTCAATGGATGAAAAAGCATCGATGCAATAGTGCTGAAGTGCTTTCCCAGCTTGGATCAGTGTGTGGCCTTCATTAGTTCGGTACTGCAATCTGAATGCATAGTATTTGCGGTGCGTTACAAACTTCCTACGCATAGATGGAGGATAGTACACTGGGTTGTACTTGATGAGAGGGTGATATCCGTCTTCACCATATGGGAACAACAAAGGGAAATGTAGAGCGTCAAATTTTGGGTTCAAACTTGTGATGCGCTTCAACCCCTCAGAAATATGGTCAGCGATGACATCACGATCATCTCTATCTGTAATAAAATCACCTGGAATGAGTGCTGAAATCTCAGTGCTTGTTGGCAAGTCATACTGCCTATTCCGACTCTTGGCACCAAATATTCTAAGTTTGATATTTGGAGTAGTAGAATCTTGTAATTGTTGTCGAACTCTTCTGAATGTCTTCACCAACTCATTGTGTTGATCCAACATATGCAACCAAGAAGTCAGCAACTCTGGAAGCAGCCTTGTCTCTCTCGAGGCAAAATTTGAGAGACGATTGTCTATCTCATTCTCAGGCTCAAAGACATAAAGCTGAGCAAATTTTGGCTTTTCACCCACTGTTGGGAACAATGAACCTATTTTGTGGTACTTCTCCCCACATATAACCATTGAGTATGGTCCTCTACTTGCGAACGATCTAGGATCAATTGTAGCCCCAAAAGATGTGAAACACAAAGATCCGTTGTATGGTCGAATGTTGTCCCCGAAGTGCTTTGACAAAGGACCACCATCAAATCGCAAAAGGTCGGCCAACAATGTTGGCGGTTACTTCCAAAATGGCAAAGACACTCGGCCTTTCTGGCAGCATAAACCATACACAGGATTTGATGCCTTTCGTCGGCGATCAAGCCTCTCCAAATACCAAAACATTGCGCTGCAAAACCTGCATATGCATTCGGGCATGACAATATTCAAAATATCATCATGTAAATACAGCTTAGTCGTTGGCATGTGCTTGTCAGAATTGAAAGCAGGCTGAGGAGCAACACTTTCTTTCGTGGAATGTAAATACGGATCTGGAGGCGTCTTTAAAAGTGCATCACAGGTGGGTGCATCGCTTGAACTCGGTGCATCAAGGTGAGATTGTATGCAAGCAAGATGGTAACTATCACTTCGCTGCTCATATTCATAAAGTTAAGTAGGACTTTATTGGTGCGAACTGCTCTGGTATGGAACTGAATTGCGAATTCTGTGTGATCTTATAGGTTGGTACTGAGTTTTGCGCTTCTGGGGCGGCATTGCTGCACACGCATGTAAGTTCAAGTTAAATGGAAAAACATTGAAGCATAGGAGCTTGGATGGTTGAGATAGAGAGGAATATGCAAAATGATCAATAAGTGAAGCTGCAACATCAGAAACGCACAACTGCAAGAAATATAATGAGTGAGGTTTGCCAGCATAATGCTTCATTTACCCACCTTGCTACGCAAGAGAGAGAGGCCAAAGCAAATATATTAGTTGGTGGGAAACATGTTTGAGAAAGAGCTGGCTTGAAGCTTCTGCAACATAAATGGAGGCTGAGCTTTACAGTCTATGTGGAGGAAGATGAAGCAATCCTTGAAGAATAATTCAAACCTGAGGTAGTTGCTGCTTCTCGTGAGGCACAATAGAAAAGGCATGATTATGAAGGGGACAAAAGTATGTTGCATTTAATGCCATATTTCTCAGATTGGACACACAAATATATATATGGGGAGTTCTATGGTACCTAGGGTGAAATCCGGGGTACCGCATACCTTGAGTAAGAAAACGCTATCCAGAACTTGAATTGACTGATGTTTCGGACATGATACTATACTCTAACCCTTAAAGATCAAAATCTAGGTCTTAATTCTTTAAATCTTCTACCCCAAGATCAATTTAATTAGAAACAATAATTGACGGTTATGATTCATCCAAATATAGAGGGAAAAATCAATGCACCATCTTAGGGTTTATAGTTTACGATTTAGATAATTAGGACCTAGGGTTCACTCATTAAGGGTTAGGGTATAGTATCATGCCCAAAAATCCTGTTAATTCGAGATCTAGATAGCGTTTTCATACTCAAGGTATGCGGTACCCCGGATTTCACCCGGGGTACCATAGAAGGCACCATATATATATATATATATATATATATATATATATGGGCAGTTCTAGGGTGCCCGGGGCAAAATCCGGGGTACGGGTAACCGGGGGCAAGGAAAATTACCAAAAGCATCACGAAGCGTATAAGCGTTTTTCATTGGACTTCAACCTAACTATACCCGGTTTAATTATATCGATTAAGAGGTTAAACCCTATGGATACGACCCGCCACCTGATAACGATGTAATTGCATGTATTTGCACCCCTAATTCTTATCCGTTTGAGAGGCATAGTCGTGTATTTTGGCCTATTTTACGCCGGGTTGTGCTATTTTGTCATATTTCAGGTTCCAGGCGTCAAAGGAAAGACTAAGCACGAGTTTCGGGGCATTCGGAGGTCATTTCGTCAAGCTGGAGCCAAAACACGGGCAGACCTAAAACAGAACACGGCCGTGTTCTGTGGCCGTGTTTTTACTGCCGAGAGCAAATTCAAGTGGGGCAAACATTGGCTAAAAACACGGGCAGAAGCACGGCCGTATCCATCCAAAGCACGGCCGTGCCCACCACCAAACACGCCCGTGTTTCGGCCAATGCACAGGCCGTGTAATTAACCCTAGCCAAAACACGGGCGGGCTGAGGCATTACACGGCCGTGCCCTCGACTGTGTTTTGGCCTCTGATGCCTTTTTAAGTAGATTTTCAGCCAAAGAGAAGGGGATTCGAGTTTTGGAGAGAGAGAATGATTCCTAGAGAGAGAAAGCGACGAACAAGAGTCTCCAAGTGCCCTAGATTGTTCTTCAACACCATTGGAGGCCAGCTTGAGCTTGGAGGAGTGCCAATCAACGTCCAGGAGCAGGAATCCATCCTTCACAGTATGAATCCGCGTCTGATTCTGCTTTTGCTTCTTTCTCTATGGAGTAGTTCTCCCATTCATCTGGGTATGGAGAACCCTAGATTTGTATGTTAGGCTTTGATTGTATGAACCCAAGTACTGATTCTATGATTGATTATATTCGATTGAGGTTTGAATGATTGAATGACTTGAATCCTGATCAAATTCCTGTTGTTTCTGCTTTGACCTAGAATGAGAATATCTGCCTAGGTTGATAGAGTATCCTTGATTGAAGGTAGGGAGTAGGTGACTTTAGTCGAGGAGCCAACTCACTATTCTGTACCGGATTCACTTCGGTAGTGGAGGTTTTGTTCTTAGGGCCTCAATCTGTTTACTCCGGTGGAGGTTAGTCGCCCGCTAGAGACTCAGATTGAGAGGGTCTGAAGACCTTTAGTCGAGACTTCAGGCTGTTTAAGAACCTTCCGCAGTATAACTATCATAGAAACTGAACTTGGTAATTACAATCCGGCTTAACTGCAGTCTAGGGGGAACCATATCCGGGTGACCTCTCTTAACCTGAATACAACAGTTTACTTGCTTTGTTAGGTTGTTAGTTTAGACTTGCATTAAAGTTTCATTGCTAGATAACAAGAATTCACTGAGTAGTCATCAAATCTAGGACTCGGGTTGATAATTAAACCCAAACCCGCTATACTACGCTTTAGGAAGTGGTTACACTTGGCCAATTCCTGGAGTGACAGTAGAAGTGAGTCAAGTTTTTGGCGCCGTTGCCGGGGACGGCTAGGTTGTTGAAGAAAAGTGATTTCTGTTAATTTAGCTTTTCTTTTTGCTTTGTTTGCTTTGTCCCACTTGTGCCTTCACGGGTTTGCTTGCTTGAGTGTGTGACACAAATTGAAGATGAAATAAGCAACACAGTCTTCGACCTAATTGAGGAAGAAGATGAAGAAGACAGAATTTGATTCGAATCGGATGGAGAGGTCGCCTTAACTTGTGTTTATGTATTAACGGTGCGTTTAGGACAAAGTCTAGTTGGGCTTTTAAATTCCCTTCAAAAGTGGGCTTGTGTACATGATCCGGATTGTGAAGAGGTTGGGCTTTTATTTACATCTGCGTCTGCTTCTGCTTCTAAATCCTTATCATGTCTTGCGTTCACGCAATTTAAACACAATTATGTGTTCCATCTTTATTTTGGGATTCGGTAAATGGTAGCGTGTCTCTTTACACATTTATCGGTACGAGGTAAAAAACAATCCGCCCAATTTAACTCTTTATTAATTGCCCCTATTCCACTCTCTCATTGTTTGCCCCGCTTCACATAACAAACCTCTTGTAGACTAATTAGAGGCTTGTGGTTGGATACTTAGTGAGGACATTTTTTAAATTTATGTTTTGAAACGAAAGTTAGAATTTCACTTTTGAAGTACTTTTGTACTTTACTTGGGCAAGTATTTTCAAAATGTAAAATTTTATCAGCGTATAGGTATGCGATTATTGTATAAGGTGTTTATGGTTAAGTTAATGATTACTGACTGGTTAGTGTATTAGGTTGTTGATGGTTTAGAGTATATGGTATATGGTATATGATATATGGGATGGTTTAGAGTATATGGTATATGGTTTAGAGTATATGGTATATGGGATGGTTTATAAGGTGTTGAATTGTTGATGGTCCAGAGCATATTGTATTGATTGGTTCGGCTGAGGGTAGGTGTTGTTTTATTTTTCTCGATTTTATATTGTCTTAACATCTTCTTATAAATGCTGATCATGTCTTATTATCAGGAAATTTAGACATAATTATTATAGCGTGTCTCTTTACACATTTATCGGTACGAGATAAAATGATTTGGTGTGTGCAAAGTAGGTTCTCATTAACGATTTTGCCATGTTGGTTATCCCACCCATTAGCGATTCGCCACATATGGAATCAAAATTAGTTAGAGTTCTTAACTTCATCTTTCTTCATTTATTCTTTGACTTGAACCAACATGTCTTTGCTCCGAAGGATTTTGGGTGGTAGTTGTGTGCTAAAGACAATCCGTCCAATTTAACTCTTCGTTAATTCCCCCTTTTCTTTTCTTTTTTGGTAGAATAAGAAAGCGAAATTATGCAAGATGGTCATCAATGTGATGTAGCTTAATTGGTTAATTGTCCGTTATTTGCTTAGTCAATAAAGTAGAGGTTTGTGGTTCGATACTTAGCGAGTATCAATTTTTAATTTATGTTTTGAAAAGCAAGTTATAATTTCAATTTTGAAGTACCTATGTAATCTAGTTGGGCAAAAATTTTATCAGCGTATAGGTATACGATATTGTATAAGGTGTTGATGGTTTAGAGTACATGGTATTGGGTTAGTGTATTGATCATCTCCATCCCTAAAATACGATATTGTATAAGGTGTTGATGGTTTAGAGTATATGGTATTGGGTTAGTGTATTGATCATCTTCATCCCTAAAATTGAACAACAATTTCTAAACGAGGTCCCTACCGCCACATCATCAATTTTAGCAATTCATCACTTATCAATTTCTATTCATCTACATCCCTAAATTATGCTAGCAATTGCCAAGGTGGGTTCCATTTTATATTTCAAAGGAAACACTTATTATAAATTGAAAGTTGGGGATGGAGATAGAAGAAGGTGTTGTTGGTATACAGTATAAGGTCTTGAAGGTTATGGTATAAGG